TTGGTATGTTCAGTTGATAGATGAAAAATAGTTTGGGTGGGTTTTTTTGGTATTTGTTCTCTTTCTGCAAGTAAGAGACAGCTGCTACTCTTGAAATGTAGGCAAATTTGATGACACTGTATATCAAACTGAATGAATGAATCAGGATGTGGTGGGAAGCTCTATTTTTGTTCTGCATAGAGAGCAAAGAAAAATGGCAGAAAACTTGCCATGGTCTAAACAGATGGGCAGCTGAATTAATCAAAGAACAGACAAAACTCCTGAGATGCTGTGTTGTTACTAGAATTATATTGCTTTTAAAACAGAAAACAAGGCTTGGGTACAGACTTCCTTTCCATATTCACGAGTCTCCAAAATACTGGGATGTTGCTGCCCATCTTCCCTGGCCTGTCTTGCTGACCCTGCATTGCCCTTGCCTGTTGTGGTTTGTTTCTGTCGTGTTCACAGAGTGAGAGCTCTTGCCTGTGCTCCCAGAATTTCCTATTATGGCTCCCTGACCTCCTCTTTCCTCTTTGTTCTTTGTGCTCGTCCATATTAAAAAAAGCTCCCAAAGAAACACAGTCAGAAGTGGTCGAGAGCTTTATTGTGTTACTCAGAACTTCTGTATAATCATTTTGCATCTCTTTCCTCTTGATGCAGGTCAGATTTCCTCCCACTAGTATCTGGTCATTGAATCACTGTGTTACAAGTTTATACAGTAAAGTATAAAAACCTTCCATGCTTTATATTTTTGTCAGTTGTAAATGAAGTCATGAGAACAAAGTGATGTGATGAAGATTCTTATGGAGTCATGAAAGAAAGGAAGGAATCTGTTTAAAGTAATGAAATCATCATTCTCATTTTACTTCTCTTCCTGATACTGTTTTTTAAAAACAGCTCTAGGCTATAGCATGTGCAGGGCTGGTCATTGAATCACTGTGTTACAAGTTTATACAGTAAAGTATAAAAACCTTCCATGCTTTATATTTTTGTCAGTTGTAAATGAAGTCATGAGAACAAAGTGATGTGATGAAGATTCTTATGAAATCATGAAAGAAAGGAAGGAATCTGTTTAAAGTAATGAAATCATCATTCTCAGTTTACTTCTTCCAGACACTGTTTTTTAAAAATAGCTCTAGGCTATAGCATGTGCAGGAAAAAATTCAGATACATGTTCTTGTGGGCTTGTTTGACAGTTCCACAGTTCTTTTCTTAAATAATGACTCTGCAAAATTGTTTAGATGATCAGTTTATCAACTCTCTGCAAGAGAAGTTCATAAACATCTTGCTTTCTTTACTCCAGTTAGCTTCTTAAACACTCATTATGTTGTCTTTTTTCTTATTTATTCCTATTTTTCCTCTGTTCAGTGAGACCTAAACCAGACTAAATCACACCTTAAATTCCTTCAATACACCAGCATCAGAACTGAATGCTAAATTTTGTCCAAGCATGATTATTGAAACGTAGGCAGTCATACCTGAATTTCTAGTTGTGGGGAAATCATATGTGTTCACTCTCTCTACTCATCTGCAGGAAATCTTAGTTTTCTTAGAAAATCCAAACATAGTCCTGTGTCTTTGCTGTAAGTATTGTGTGAGTTGTGCCTTGTAGGCCTAGGTAGGACCAGCTGCTAACTGCTGTCACTTTTACTTTCAGAGTTCGACCTTTAAAGCATCATCTTTAGAAAGTCAGTATAATTTCATGCCTTTATGTTGACTTCAGACTTTTTTTGTGAAGAAACTGAATGGCATTTGCTATTTAGGTGCAGAGCAGCTATGTTTAATTTCATTATTATGGAAACATTTGGAGAATATTTAATTTTTCCTTTAGCAATCCATTAGAGAACCAGGAGAATTCTGTTTTCCCGTGATGAAACTGCTCAGTCATTCTGTAAAAGGGATGAAAATATGAACTGATGTTACAGCCTGCCTGTCTTAAAGCTCTTTAGGCATTTGATTAGCAAATTTATGACCACCATAATGTCCAGTTGTATTAAATGACTGAATTGCAGTTTTATTCACAATGTACTGACATTGTGGTGACTCTTCAAAGTAGTTTTTTGTAATTCCATTCTTAGATGGAGATGGAAATGTCATGGGGATATGGCTTTTGAAACAAATAATTCTTTCAGGGAGCCAGCCTGCTGCCAAAGCGTGCCTGGTGTTCTGTTTACCTGACAAAGCACTGGCTTGCAGCACTGCCCAAATTTTTAATGCTCATGTACAGGCAGCTCCCTTTCGCCCAGTTTCAGCTAGTTTGAGATTGATCTTTCACCTCAGACAGGATCATGTTTTTTTAATGTCACACCTTAGAAGGTCAGTGGTCTGAGGGACATCGGGACTGTCCTTTGAGCCTAAGACAGGTGGAAGAAGGAGAACAATGAACTCTTGAAGGTGAGAGCACTTCAGAGAGAGCTGTGTGTCAGGCTGTACTCCTGCTCTGGGCAGGTAATGCCAACCAGGGTATGAGGTTAACGGGTGGTGTGGACCTCAGCATGCTGCAGGCACTAAGCACTGCATTAGTTCAGCATTGACTGTGGTGTGACTTTGCTGTGCTGCAACAGAGGATCAAAATTATTGTTGCAGCATCATATCTTCTGCATTTTGGCTTCCCTGTAGGGAGGGAGCAAACACCACAATTGTTAGAACTGCATTTTGCATTGTGGACTATTTTAATTAAGGAGAAAGGAAAGGATCCTGCTTTGAATACAGTTCATGTGTGCTATATGAATTTAATTATGCTGTTTGGCATAAAAATGGGTTTGCCTGTGCTTTCTATCAGCTTACATTTCTTGTTAGAAGGTAAGGTTCTAAACAGAAATGGAATTTTCCTTTTGACTTTTCTCAGAACTCAGTGTGTCTGCTGGACTGTTTCCTAAAAGTGTACAACTTGTTTCAATAGCTAGTTTTGCAAAGTTCATCATTTTGGTGATGTCTTTTCATCACTATTTTGCCTATTGGTAGGCAACAGCCCAAGAAAAAATTGAGAATGTGTATTTTGAGGAAAAAATAGTAATTAATTACTGAACAACATAATGTTAATTGAGTTTATTTTAAAGATAATTATATTATTTTTAAGCCCATACAAATGAAAATTCTGTCTGTTTCTTTGTTTAGTTTTAAACATTGCTAGCAAATCCAGCAGCTCTCTTTTCCATCCTCTTTAGATGGATAAATTCTCTGGGGTTAAGTAATGTCATTGATGTTTCAGGAAGAGGTTATTATTGTCGTGCAAAATGATTAATGCCTTCAGCACAGTGAACCACTTTAAGCTGGAGCCTTGTACTGTAAGAAACTGAAGCCAGTTTTGTAGTGTACATCAGCTACAGTGCTAGGGATAGCAAGTGAATAAAGTGTTAAAAGAAAACTTGTTCATAAATACTTTGAAAGTACACTGCTGTACTTCAGGCGAATCGGAATGGGAATGTGTAATTGAAAATCTTCCCATTTCAGGCATTTTGTGAATGGCGTTTCATCACCGCATTTGAGTTAAAAAAATAATAATTCAGAATGTTTAAATAAAGTACCTAGTTATAATTATGATAATTTCAGAATGCATTTTAAATCAAGGAACTGTGCTTTCATGTACACATACTTAGATGTATTGTGTATTTGTTTTTAAATGAAAAGAAACCTGGTCTCCATCTTCCTGTTGACATCAAACAATCCTCTGATATGCAAATCCTGCTATGGGGAGAACAGATACACAGGGTTTGTTTGGATTCAGTCCAAGAGTGAAAGAAAATTACATTTAAAGACGTAATTTATATGCTTTGCCTCATTTAAATGAAAATGCATTTTGAAATAATCCCTATAACGAAAAACATTTGGTGGAATGTTAAGATCCTTTGTACGACTGATGCATTTTGCTATAGGTAGTTTAAAAGCATCTCTCTCATACTCCTGTGTGTCTGTAATGTGCAGATGCAGCTGTCAACTTCTCAGTGGCATGTTTTAACATAGGATGAAAATAGGTTTTTTTGCAAATTAATAAATGTTTGTTATGTGAACTTTCTTAAAGCGTGCATGAGTGTGAAGTCTGTCTGTACCCACAATTAAAATACATCAAGTACTTTGCTTTCTGTCTAAAATTTTGCCAGTCTTAATGTTGTTTATGTATTTTCTCCTTGTGTGGAACTTCAAAACCTGACACAATATGATTTCTTTGGAAACATAGGCTAAACAAGCCACGATTTTTCAATCTTTTTCCCTTTAGCTGCAGAATTTCTGATGATGAAACTTTTACCTTTTAACGTTGCCTGAATTTCAGGTTTTCAGTAGGTATCTTTGGAGGACTGTTACTCAGTTGCTGAATACCACATTTGAAGCTGATGTGTATAGCAGAGAGTAATTGTTTTGTGTAGGCTTCAACAGGCCAGTGAGCTGTTACTAGTGATCAGGAATGGGGTTTTAGACAGGACAGAAAATATTTGAAGAGGAGTAATGTCACAGTGAAGTTTTCAGAAATCAGTTCCTTTAATTCCCTTTCATGTGCTGCAGAAGTTTTAAAAACTAATGTGACCAATTCTTCTTACATGGTCTTTGTGACTGTGTGATACTACTCTTTTTTTTTTTTTTCCTTAATTTTTTTTCCTTCATTTTAAAAAATGAGGGTATGGAAATAAATTTTGGTGTAAGGAAGTGTATATAATTTGGGATGTTCTGTGGCACATAACTTTATATCTGGCCTTTATTTGTTCTGTGGCTACTTTATATTAGATTACTCTGACCACATTAATCCAATACTGAGGAGTGCTGAATACTGTATAAATCCTTTTTTGGGGTAGGAGTTTTATTTCATTAATGTTATTTGTGGCTCTGTGTGTAGACTGACTTATGCATATGCAGTGATGATACATATATTAATATTTAAGGGAAAACTTTTTCTGTGTCAAGAAATTCTGTTAAACCTTTCTTGTAATTTTTAATTTTTTAATTAAGAATTTTCTGTTTTTTCTTTTTCTTCAGTAATTTTATGCAAATTTTAATTTTTAATATTCACTAACCATGTTTTTTTTAAGCATTTTAAGAAACAGAAGAGGTTGATTCCTGAAAGAACAGTTTGGAAGTACTTTGTTCAGCTTTGCAGTGCCTTGGAACATATGCATTCTCGTCGTGTTATGCATAGAGGTAATACAGGATCAAAGATGATTTGTCCTTACTATACCTTTGACTATGTGAGAATTAAGCTGGCTAAAATCAATTTTGACAGCTGAAACATTGTATGTTTTTGTAAGATTTTATAAGTAATAGAAAACTGAGAGAAGTTTGTGGTTGTACATTTGTTGTAGTAGACATTTGTTTGATAGCAAGTTTTTCAAAATAAGTGATAGTTCTGTGAGTGATGGATACCCTGCCATAGCTACTTCATTTTTCTAGCTCTTATCTTCTACCCTGTATTTATTCTTCTATATTTACCTGTTGTCTTGCCCAGGTGTTGCTCCTTGCCTTGCACAGATCTGTCAGTCCATTCTGTACAGCTCTTGCACCTGGTTGTCTTAAAGTATCTGCTCCTGCCCTGCTTGCTCGTGATGTGCAGGCCCTTCTCCTGGTCCCAGGTGTGAGCATTTCCTCCAGTTCTCTGCTCAATTCCAATCTCTGTGTCCCAACAGCCCTTGTAGTTGCCAGCTATCCCAGTCAGGTACTAAATTTCCTTGGCCCATTTTAAACCTTGGTGCTGCTGTCTCCTCTGGATGTGGTCTTCGTTTTACCTCATAACTCTTGGGTCAAAGAAAATAGATCATAGTATAGCTGCTTCTTAGGTCTGCTATTTTTTTCCCTTTCTGAAATCCCTCTGGTTATGGGATTGTGAGTGGTGTGTGGGCTGTCACCTTTTAGGTTCAGGTGACATTGCCTGCCTTGGGTTGGTGGCTCCCTGGGTTAGAATGCAGCTCACCGCCTGGAAGGAATAGTGCCTCGATGTCTGCTGAGCTCTGTCGTTTGCAGCTGGAAATTTTGCACCCTTAGCAGATGAGCTTAGATACCCTTGCCCCTTGCCTTTCTCTTGTGATTCTCCTTTTTTTTCTGCCTTTGTGCATTTGTACAGGTGCCTGCAAGTGCGAATGATACAAAGACAAGGACATAAAATACAGATTCTTTCCATAGGGTGCAAGTATCTTCCTTTAATATTTTTATAATTAATTAGTTAATTTCTGTATATTTTAGCTCAAAACAAAAGGATTTAAATTCCTTAAACTGAAATACTAAGTTCAGAGCTTCTGGCAAACCTGTGGCAAATCTAGTGATTCCATGGTTACATGCCAAAAGCAATGGCAATTAAAGCTATTTTTAAAATGAGCAATATCCGTGTTGGCTTATTGCACAAAGGGTTATCCAAACTCCTGAAAACTGGGTCAGATAGCAGAAGAACATAATTGCTTCTGTCTTCCTCTAAAGCTTGTAAGGTTTTGTAACTTTTTTGCTGGAAACCTGAGAATGCTGGTGTTTGAAGGGTTATTAACCATTCCTTTTACTGTGCCCGTATCTTATGCAAACTGTAATCCCCTCTTATCAAAGTGAACTGATTTCTGTAAGTTTTAGGCTAGGGTGGATTGCTTTTCAGCAGAGTAAGGGCTAAACTCCCTTGCCAAACAAATAACAGGTCAGTTTATTTAGGAGACTAACGAGGTAGGTATCTTGTTAGAAATCATAGAATAAGAGTCTCTGCTGTTGTCTCTAAGGGATTGGATTAAAACTTAAACTGGATATTACTTGTGAAAAATAAATGTCTGGGGTATACATCATTATTTTTCTTTGTTTCTACTTGATTAGCCCAATTCCATTGACGAGTTCAAATAACCATTCTCCTGAGTAAACTTGCTTCATTTTTTAATGCCTGCTCTTACAGAGAATCAGTTATCTATTTCAAATAAATGACGTTATGCCACTGTGGGTAATTTGATCAGCAAAAGTTATGAAAAATGCTGTACAGCCCTTGAAAACGTATTTAGGCTGTTACTTAAGACATAACAAAAGAGGTTCTCTCTCTAGTTCTAATCTAGGTCTCTCTATGTAGCTTATATAAAGTAGTAATGAACTCACCTGTATATGCTTCTTGACTTTGGGGGTGTGGTTTTTTTGTTTGTTTGCTTGTTTAAAAAAAAAATGCAGTGGTTGTGCCATTAAAATAGTGGACTTGCAAATCTACATTCTGGACCCATTCTTTCTGAGCACTGTTGAATTTTACAATATTACCTGTAAATAAAATCCTCTTTGGGTCTATTATTAATAGAAGAGTAGCTTTTCTTGCAACCTCACTGTGACTTCTAAATTTTTAAATGTATTTTTCTTTCAGATATAAAGCCAGCAAATGTGTTCATCACAGCTACAGGAGTAGTAAAGCTGGGAGACCTTGGACTTGGTCGATTTTTCAGCTCCAAAACCACAGCTGCACATTCTTTAGGTAAGCTTTCTCTGAGGTACAGGTGTTGGACAGGTAGATTTTTTTACATGGTGGAAATACTGTGCCCGCTCAGAAGGAAGAAAAGGGTTAGTACCAGGTAAGCTGGTCTTAAGTAATCACAAAAATAGTAAAGATGTTCTTAATAAAAAAAATGGTCAGCACCATGGACAAATACAGAACCACTGTAGCACTGAGGTATTTCTTTCAGCATATTTTGGGTATTTTTCCTCCTTTGTTTGCATAATTTAGCGTACACTTTCTACCTCTGAACAAGTCTTTAAGACAATAATGTTACCTAGAAATGCTAGGAAAAAATAAGGTGATAATATGGATGCATTTTTTAAAAATTGACTTGAACTTTATTCAGTGTTGGGAGGAATCTCATTCTGTGTGCCTGCATGAGTAGCATTAATGACCTCTTGGTTACCTGGTTTCAAAGGGCTCTCAGAGGAGCTTCCATTTTCTAAGGTGATGTTTCTCAATGTAAGCTTAGGTATTCAAGAGTAGATCAGAATTAACGACAACACTTCCCAGATAAGTTATAAAAACAAAAATAGAAAACAGCTTTCTGAAATGGTGAGTTTATTCTTTGCTAGCACACAAAACTAGCAGTGTATTATTGCTATCCAAACAAAATTTTTGTGTAATTTGCATCTTTTGAGTAGCATGTGAATACTAGGATGATTCAGAGGCCTTTAAAAAAGAAAAGTTAAATATTTGGCATATATTTCAAGTTTAAAAGTAGGTAACAGATGAATGACAGAATCTAAGAGGATCTCTGTGGAAGAGAAAAACCTTGTAGTTGTGTTCGAGGGTCCCAGGGTGAGGGAAGAGATGAGGCTCTTGACTCCATGTTTCAAAAGGCTGATTTATTATATTACGATATTATATTATATTAAATGCTATACTAAAACTATACTAAAAAGAATAGAGAGAAAGGATCCATCAGAAAGATAGAAAAGAAAGGAATGGAATGATAATAAAATCTTGTGACTGCTCACAGTCTCAACACAGGTGGCTGTCATTGGTCATCAAGTAAAATCAATTTCACATGCTGGGTAAACAATTCTCCAAATCACATTCCAAAGCAGCAAAACATGGAGAAACTGAAGCTTCCCAGCTTCTCAGGAGAAAAGATCCTGGCAAAAAGGATTTTTCATAGTTTATGTCTGTGACACCTTGCAAATAGAGTAACATCTGCTTTAAAGAGAAATGTAGGAAATAGTGCTTATACTACTGTCAAGTTGGGGTTTTTAGATACAAAACCACTCTTTTCTCTCACTGCATTGTCTGTGTTTGGTGGTTGCTGAACTCAAGCCCGTTCATTGATTGCATGTTTGTACCACATTTGAGGTAGGAGTGATACATGTGTTAATGGCCAAAAATACAATATTTTGGAAGGGAAACTTCTGACACTCCTTACTTCCCTGTCCTCCAAAAAGCCTTTGGTCATTCCTTTGTGCCTTGCAGTTTTTACCATGTTTGGTGCAGACTGGTGAAGTCAAACCCCTGGGTCCCTGCGGAGGTGTTGATAGGAAGCCCAGACACAGAGTGCCATTAGCAGGGGGCTGAGAGGGAGTGCAGAGCCCAGGCTGGAAATGTGCTGGGGTTCCACGTGAGGGGCACTCAGATGTGGCACTGAGGATCTGCTGCTGTCACAGGGTGTCACCCAAAGTGCTGCTGTTCCTGCTGCCCTTGGGAGGCAGTGGCCATCTCTGGCAGCCTGTGGAGAGCTGGGTTGGGTTCTTGCAGGTGGGCTCTGCTCCTGCCTGCAGATGGAAGGAGAGTGTGAAGAGGGAGATGGAAATCCTAATCTGAGGAGTAGGAGCCCATGAATAAGGCAGAGGTCAGCAGTGAGAGTGGGAGAGAAGACTTGTGTTCTGAGGCACAAGCCAGGAAGTTAAAGTGGAGCAGACTGCTTCAACCCTGGATTATTTTGGCTCCTGGCAGGGGAATTGTTGTGAGGGCTGAGCTGGAAATTAAAAAAAGCTGAAGACTGTGCCAGATTTAAAAACAGTGTAATACCCCTGAGCCCTTTAAAGCTCATCTTTTACAGATCCAAGAATAATCCAGAGTGGGGAAGGAGGGGAGGATGGCAGCTTTGTTTCTTCTGTTGGTGGCTTTGTCTTGGTCGAGGAGTTGTTATTTTTTATTTTCTTTTTTTTCCCATCTCTTCCCATTTCCCTCTTAATTATGGCCTAATGTCAGATTTCAGCCTAGAAAAAAGGATTGTGTCAGCTGTTAACTTAGGCTACAGAGGAGACTGACTTTCTGATTTGTCATCACTAGCAGAGACCACTTCTTAAATTGATTTCTTCTGCAGTTTCTAATGCTGGTTTTGTTGAAATTTCTTTCAAAGTTGTATCTTTTTATGATTCTATAAACCTTTGGTGCACGTAACCTAGTAAATTACAAACATATGTGTAGCAATTTATACTTGTTTACAGGCTTTATAAAAATTTCAGTAGCAAACTAGATTCAGGCTTTCAGAGATAAAGAAATGTAGTAAAATTTTAATTAGCTACAGCTTCTAACTGCTAATTATGAATAATACTGATTTAATTAGAATCTTTACTGATGGTCCATTTGAAACAAATGAAAAAACTGCAGTGGACAGGGTTTTTCATGTTCTTAACTCTTTCCATACAGCTTTATCAAGAATTTACTATTGTCATGCCGATATCTTTTGGAAATGGAAAACATTTTTTACAAAAGGGCAGAGGAAATGGAGGCATTTGGTATTGTTGATTTGACACAAACTTGACAAAATGTCTTGTTTTCAGAAGACTTTCTGTTAGAAAGGGGAATATGATCCAACAAAGACTTCCTACTCCTTTCCCTACAATTCTGTTAGGGTTTTTTTGCTGCTGTTGCTTTAGTGGCTGAATGCCAGGCCTTATGCTTTTTGGTGAAATGGCAGTTCTAAGGCCAGCTCATGGATCTGTGTGGTTTTTTCTTTGTTAGCCATTCAGTGGATGTAAAGAGAAGTATTTTCATATTTTGGTTACAAAAAGAATCACTTGGTCTCTCTGCTGTGGCTGTGCTGTAAGGCTGCAGTGTGCTGTCCAGGCAGGCACTGCCACCAGTGTGGGGATCCCTTCTTGCAGGGCAAAGAAGCAGATCTGCAATCTTCTTAAAATGCTCAAATGCAGAAAATCATCTACATGGAATTCTGGTCTTCTGTGTTTTGACAACTTCTGTCATTTCTGTGGTACTGCTGTCCTCAGCACAGACTATGTTATGTGAGGAGTTTGACTATAAACTCACACAGGTTGTGGAGAATAAAATACCTTGTGAAAATGTGTGCAGATACTCTCCTCTCCTCTCACATATGGGTCTGTAATGCAGCAGAGGGTGTGCTGAGGTGGTGGTTTGCAGCACCATTCTGTGAATAGAATAAACTCCACTTAGATACTCAGCCATACTCAGAACCTGCACGCTCAGTGTACAGTAACGCTGGCAGGGAGATCTGCAGCTGAGTCACTGCAGGCATCAAGGAAGCTGTGTTAAAATAGCTCTTGTATTTTATGTACAGAAACATGAGATCTCTTACAGTAGTTTGAAAGCTGAAGATAAATGATTGTGTTGTTTTAAAAAAAATAACACAAGATATTTATAGATTGAATTATGTAGAAGGACTATTTGCACATTGTGGGCTAGGTTGCAGAGTTACTTCGGACAAGTGCAGTATTTTGACTTAGACATCTCCTATAGCTGTATAAAATAAGTACAAAACTCTGAACATTATAGAATCAGTAGGGTTGGAAAGGACCTCCAAGCTGCTCGTTTCTGATGTGGTTTGTCTGTCTTCAGCATCCACATTCACCTTGTTAAGCATGTTGTATTGAACTCTATATTATAAAATTGCTGTGATCTTATGGACACTGAGTCATTCATAAACAGTCTCTTGGTTACTGAAATTTGGCCTCTTTAGCCCCCTTCCTGAATTCTGATAGTTATGTATGCCAAAGCATGAAATGTCAGTAATGATTATGTGGCCATTTTTAAATTGCCTCTGATCCTTCAAATCAGCTCCCTGATGGGTGTTAACCCCAATTCCATTATGTCTATTCCCTCTGCCAGTAACAGGAAGCTTGCATAAAGAATCAACACTTTCTGGATCTACAGCACCTTTAAAGGGAGGGAGCTCCAGAGCAGCAGCAGATTCTGAGGAGATACTGTATTTGACAAGACCATTTTCAAAGAGTTTACTGTTCAGACTTATAGGTTATCACAGGTCTGCAAATGCAGCAAGCAAAACATTGAAGTTACTGATTTTTTTTCTTAAAAATGTAGGCACCTCAATGCTTTAGCTCATTTTCTTGTATTATCTCACTTCTATGTCTTCAGATGAATAAAGGAAGTGAGGAAGTTGCTTATCTTTATACTATTGGGATGCTGTATTTCACTTAATAGTAAAAATGATCCAGGAAGGAACTGAAACACATAATCACACTGGTAGTTGCTTACTAGCAGCACAGCTATGTCTTGAGAGTGCTCCCTGTGTTAAAAAGGATCATTGCAATGCTTTCAGTAGCTCCTGAATGTCAGAATAATGAATCTTTAGTGTCATGTTCTGTTAAAAACAGTTTATAAGTAGTAATGATGTCTGAATCTTCAGGTTGTTTGTGTGATTCCATGAGTAACAGAACTAATTTCAATTCCTCTCACTAGTTGGCCATTGGGGGCTGCAGGTTGTATTGCAGTGGAGGTGTTACACTAGGCTAAATGCTGTAAAATGGTAACATTTGTTCTTGCTTTTCACTATCATCAATCTTTCACGGTCATATCAGACCTCTAATGTATCAGCAGGCTTCCCAGAGCTACTGGTTAAAATTACCTTTGCTTTTGGTAGACTATGAACCTTCAAACCTCAGTGTTTTCAGCTGCCCCCTGTGGATTCTGTGAAGCTTCTTTCTGGCACATTACTCACTGCCAGCCACTTGTGTGATACCTCAGAGCAGCAGAGGCACTGCTGCTGCAGCCAGTGAACAAACACATTACTGTTAAACTTATTTCTGTTGTTAGATGAATTCTGCCAACAAAGCATCAGAATATACTAAACCAGTGCTTTAATTAATGGATACAAAATGCAGCTGAAATTTTACAGAGGCATCCAAGCTCACAAGTCATTGGGGTGTTAAAAAAATTCAAAGATGGAAATAAAACAGTGAGATAATAAAAATATGAAACCTCCGTCAATTCAAATGCTTAGTTGCAGTTCTGATCTTAAGATATCTGTCATTAAGTGCCCATTAAAATACTGATGTGTTGCTTCTGGATATTTTGGTAGTTATTTTGGCCATTGTGGTTTACCCATCTGCTTGCCTGTTGTTTCACAGGGAAAAGACCATTCTCAGTTGTGGGTGGATGCAAACATGTGAGAATAAATGTCTCCCCAGTACTCTCTGGAGTTGCTTTTCCCCAGCCTTTCTCCTTTTAAGCTCAGTTGGCAGCCTCAGTTCAGAGGTGCACGGAGTGCTCAGCCAGTGCTGAGGGAGGGGCTGTGGCACTCTGTGGCTTTCCCAGAGCTGGAAATCTTCCCCAGCAGGTTTAGGGGGCCAGATCCATTGGGGGATAGCACATGGGGACCTCTGTCTTTGCCTGTCTGTTACAGAAGCAGTTTATATGGGTTTTTTCAATGTTGTTTGCCAAGCAGCAGGTCAGATGAAATTATGGGCTGCCAGCAGCAGTGGCCTGACCTGAGATAGGGAAGCCCAGAACCACCTATCTGAGATGGGCCCTTCAAGCAGCAAAGTCATTCTCCCTTCTCCCGACTTCCTCATGACATAGTTTGACTTGCAGCATTTCTTAAAGATAGGGCACATTGTCAAAACAAACTCCTTAACTTTTGGAAATTATTAGAGTAAAATTATCTGATTACTTAAAGCTATTCAACCTTATTATTCAAATGTGGAAGTACTTATATAGTCAGTGTATCTTTGTCTTCAGTATTCATACAGAGATCAATTCTGAATTAGCCTCATCTATTCAGAAGAACAGAAGTGAAACCAGATCCTTGTGTTACAATAATATGTGAGGTTCCTACCACAAAGAACAAAAATGAAAAATTAAAAGTGATTTTAATTGCTGATCGTGTTGCAAGATATTTGGTCTCAAAATAAAATCAACTTGAATTGACAGAAATCAGCTGGTTTTCATCATCAGGATTCAGTGCTTAAGAAAATATTCAAACAAAATTGAAATAATCTGTACAGATCTGTGATTTTTTTGCTATTAGGCAGTCATTTTGGGGGATACAGGGAGAAAGTTGAGAAACAGTGCATTAAAATTGCCATTACCACTATTTTCCATAACTTCTTACTGCTCTGTCACATGAAACCATCACTCAGCTATTTCTTTGTAATAATATTTTTTATAGAGCTGAAACATCTCTTAATATTTCTCTGTTCCAAGTAACTTGTGACACAGATGGGTAGGGTTTGATTAAAATCAAGGGGAAAGATGTTCTAGACTATCCAACATAAATTTATTCTGGGACAGTCCTAATAAATGCTGCTTTTCAAGAGCAGACATTTCCAGAGCCCACAGCTCTGAGGCAGGACGAAGCTGGGACAGGCACAGGTTTGGGAGCTGGAAAGCCCTTGTGGAATTTCATGCTCCAGCTGATGGCTTGAGTTGCCCTTAGGAACCTCAGCTTCTGCTGGGCTCGCTGGTTTTCCTGCCCTCATCTTGGAAGGACCTGAATCTCAGGCTCAGCTTTAATTTCAGCGGTTCAAAGTGGCTATGTTTTCTGTTCCAAAATCAGCTTTTTCAGATTTATATATTCTCCAAGGAAGAACAGAACTTGTGAAACAAAAAAATTCAGGCCATGGTAGAGAATTTCTAGCTGTTGTTTCTAGCCACAGTGGTAACACTTTGGAGAAGTAGCAGGGATGTGTGTGTGTGTAGTACCTTCCCTTGGTTCTTCTTAGGAGAAACAAATTACTGATGAGGTTCCTTAAAAGCAGAATTTGGAAGTGTTCTACAGCTGCATAGCTCTGGTAATGAGCAGTGAAAATAAAGCTGCATTGGATTAAATAAATACTAATCTGTGTATCTTTATCAAACTGAATTGTCCCAAGTATGAGTTGAAGTTTTAAGTGTAGCAATAAGAGAAAAATGAAAAATATTCTTCTGCCGGGAAAAGGGTAGTTTAACTACTGCATAACAACAGAAATTTTCATTCAAAAATACTTTTGTTTTTTTTCAGTTGGTACACCTTATTATATGTCTCCAGAGAGAATACATGAAAATGGTTACAACTTCAAGTCTGACATCTGGTCTCTAGGCTGTCTGCTGTATGAGGTAATACTGATATGTACAGTGAACTTAATAACACTCTTGTACTTCCCCTTCCACTGCCCTCCTCTCCTTAACTTAAGCCTGTGAAATGCTTTTATTTTGTTTTACTTGAACTTGCCTTTAAATGGGCTTGCTCAAAGATTTTACAGCAATTTCTTGAAGATTGGGCATGAATGAAGGATTAGTAAATGAATAATAGCAAGCACATGCAAAATTGTTCTAGGTGTTTTCATGGCCTATGATGGTTATATGGTCTTGTTAATAAATGTATTGAGAAGTAGTAGGACTGATTTGAATATGTAAGTAATACTTCAAAAACTGCAGTATAGATACTTTAATAGAATATAAAGACTTTAAACCTAAGTAAAATAATGAAACAAGTTTATTGTACTTACTGCTACTAGCTTGGATGAATTCTCAGTTTAACAACTTCTGCTGCACACACATGTAATTTTTCTTCTCTTGTGATGGCTAAACTACAATTGTTTAATTTCTCTGTTGGTACAGTCGAGATTGGTAGGTGACACAATTTTAAACACCTACTATATTTTGAGAAAATAAAGGTACAGGGCTCATTGAAATGGAGGCAAATGAAGGTGTGAAGAACACGTAGGCTTCTGAAACAAATATATCTTCCAGTTCTTTGCATATAATTTCTTAATTAGAAGTAGTAACACTTGTGTTGAATGATGCTGGGGAAAAAAATGGTTCCATCAGGAGTGGCAGAGAAGCCTCCCCAGTCGTGTTCCAGGTAGAAACAAACCTACTCAAGTCATTTTGTGTTTACCTACAAGCCACCTGCCTCAGTGGGTCAGCAGAACTCATGTAACACATACTCAGCAGTATCAGCACCTCCTTGTTTATTTTAGGATTGTGCAGAAGACACTGGCAGCCTGTTGAGGTTGGATGTTGCTGCCAGGTGAATCATCTCCAGTAATGTTTACTTTCTATCACTGACATGTTGCTTTGAATATTAAAAGGACAAATAGCTATACTGCAAGTCTGCAGTTTACAGATGTGTCTATAGCTGTTGCTTTAAATATTGGGGATCATTCAAGGAAGGAAGTCCAGCTGCTAGCAAGTATTTTGAAGTTTGAATCCTGAACTAAAACTTAATCCTGTATTGGGATTCCTCAATAGTGACCATGGCAGCTGCCTTGAATTTTAGTGTTCTGCTTTGCACACTTGTGCAAGCCCTAAGGTGGCATAAAGCTAGATGAGCATTTTTCAGTATTACTATTTCTGTGCCCCTGGTTAGTTTACTTGAAGATTTTTTTAAAATCTGGAAATAAGCAAATAAAACATTTGAATTACTGTTATGTAAAACCCCAACAGTTTAAGGTTAATTTTTATTTTATGTTATATGAAATTAAATTGCTGGATATAAATCAGTAGTACTTTTCTGAATAATTTTTTAAGCTTGCTGCCTTAATGCTGGTAGAGTATATTAAACACCTATGTGAATATTACATTTTTCTTTGATGTGGTGGATAGTCCCAAAATATCTAAATAACTCAGTTCCATTGATTAACTCAGCATCTTGAAATACCATTCTTCTTTGATTTTAGAGGTTTTACCATGGTGCTATTTAAGCCAATATGGGGTAGTGTTTGTTTTCCTTACTGTAATAATAAAATAATTATTAGGACCTTTGTTATTGATACATATATACAGTATTGGGCATTGTCTTCAACTATAACTTTTAATTTCTTTTGAGGTGCACTTACTTGATTCTGCAACATACCGGATATTTGTGGTGCTTTTTCTTGTTTTGGAAGTTTATCTTGAGCATTTATCTCTAATTTTGAAATTTCAGTTATAGCGAATTCCAAATACATGCTCAGCATTTTTCCCACTTAGTATTTTTTCTTAATTATTGGAAGGTGGTTACTTAAGGTTCTTCAAGACTTGTGAGGACTAATGAATGGTGTTTTTGAATCTGTGCACTTTTGTGCTGCCTGTCTTTCTGATTTGTCTATTGCCTGAATTTTAGCATGTTTTATTATGTTGATTTCAGGGTGATGTGTGTTCATATGTACTCTGGATCGTCTCCAGCTTAATTGGAAAAAAGCTGTGGCAAGTTTATCACAACTCAGTAAATGCCGAATTGCCACTAAACTCTTCAGTTATGTTTTAATTTAGGTTTAAATAATTTGTTTTTAAAAATTATTATTTCTTGTATGTATAACAATTTATTCTTCAATGCTAACTGCGTGGCCAGTAAGATTTTGCAGAAGTATGTTTTAAAGTCTGAATTTTTAGAGCCCCAGGTATTTCTGAAACCTCAAAAACACTACCAGTGGAGTTTTAATTGATATGCAACAAAGTAGACTTTACTAATTAAAATCAAGATGCTGTGCTTTTGCTACATGGACCTTTACATGGAAAAGTAGGTCTTACACATTTCCTTTTATTGTTCATCGTAGCAATTGCATCCTTACAGGGTTGTAGGTTGGTGGCTTACAGTTCAAAAAAAAAAAAAAAAAAAGAGAAAGGGAAAAAAAAAGAGAGAGTGCGAGCTGCCACCAGCCCTGAAGACAGACAGTGGGCTTTCGTCCCTCAGACACCCCCAGAATACTAATCAGCAAAGTCAGACCCTGGAGGTCAGGGAGCAAGTCAATCATTCTAGCGATCGTCTCAGTGTGGAGGATCAAATTAGCCTGAAAAATTCAGCTGCTGGGAGGAGAGGGCGAGCAGCTGTCAGGGGCAGCAGCGAGATGCACTAATGAACCAGATGAATAGTGCAAAAGCTTGAAAATAAAAACAGGACAGTTGACATTTTTCATCTGTCAAAGCAGGAGATGCATGAAAATATAGTATTCCTGTTTTAACTCCTTAGGGGACATTCAGAATTTTTTTAACACTCGGCAGCATTCAAACAAAAGTACTTTTTAATGAACACCTAGAGTATGAAAATGAGTATCTGTGAATTTATTTAGAATTTCTGCATGCGTACAGACCCTGCAGTTGATTTTTCTTTTTTCTTTTTTTTTTTCTTTTCTTTTTTGGTCTTCAGCTTGCATTTTTAACATTCTTTTTAAGGTAAGAGACAATGTAATGTAAATACAAAAATAAACATTATCGTAGTAATACAGTTTGGGAGGAGTGTAGGATGAAACTGCAGCATAATACTTGTTTTGGGAGCTTTAAATTTTTTTTAATTTTTCCTCAAAGGTAATATGAAAAAGTACTGAACTATTTGAGAGCAAATTAACGAGAGATAAAATAAATGGAAGGGAATTTTGGTAATTCTTTTCATACATTTCCCCCAGTGATATTGATGCTTAGACATGAAAGAGTTAAACTTCTATCTGGAAGACCACAAGACAGATGAGAGCCATTTTCAGCTTGTCCTGTCCCTGCTGAAGCTCACTGAGTAGCACAGCATGGACTAGCGTGTTTCACACACACTCTGCCTGTCTGGGGAATGTACACATTGTCCTTCCAAAATCAAACTTATTAGCACATGTAGAAAAGGGTGACTGACTTTGGGGCAGCTCTGCACTCAGAGCAGCATCCGTGCTGCTGCAGTTAAAAGATTTCTTAGGTTTTGAACAGAATGGAGAGATTTTAAATGAAATTTTAAATTTCTAATCCTGCTAGCCATAGCATTTGTTGCAATCTCAAATGTCAAGTTGTAACATTGTCTGGAAATCAAGGGTAGGTTTATTAATGCTGGCTTTAAGCTGATCAATTACATAAGTGCTGTGCAACAGATTTTTCTACTTCCGTATTGTAATTGTAAATTATTGCCATAGGTGCTGGTTCTGTGCTTCTGATGGAAGTTTGAGGATTTTCTTTTTTTAAGTAATTTTGAATAACATCCTGAATGATGAAGATTTTGGGTCTGAGATTTTGGAAGTGTAGATGATAGCTTTTTCTTGCTTTCAAAACCCCCAGTTATACTGAAGTCTAGTGTGACAGCTGTGGAAGGTTACAAAATCTGCTATGATTATCTAGTGTTATCTACACAATGCATTGCTTTAGGTTAGATAATGTTTTCCTGTAAGGTACGTTGCTTACAAAAGGTCTTCTGAGGAAAAGTACAGGTTTGGGTTTTTTTGGTGTCCCTTGTGGTGCAAGGACCCTCCATCTCAGCAATTTCCCCTCATAGACAATTAATTTCCCCTCATAGTCTATTAATAAAACCCTAACAGTGTGCAATTCAGGTACTGCACTGCAAGGATTGTGACAGCTATGGTTGTGTGACATAGAAAAGGTACATACAGTGGTTACAGGAATAGTTTTGGAACTTCTGTTATCACTGCAGGGCTCCCTTTAAGCAGAGCTTTGAGAGTCATTAAGAATCACTTTTGATTTGTTACTATTACAGTTTATATGACAAAATAGCTTTACTTAAAAACGCAAAAGAAAACTGTACATTTTCTTTAAACAGATGGCTGCACTGCAGAGTCCCTTTTATGGTGATAAAATGAACTTGTACTCTCTGTGCAAGAAGATAGAACAGTGTGACTACCCACCTCTCCCTTCAGATCACTATTCAGAGGAAGTAAGTAATTTTCCTTTTCATGGGCTGGATCTCCAGTTTATGTAAGCTGGCACGCTTCCAGGGGAGTAAATGAACTTGTGTGATTTTATGTTATTTGCAGATTATGCCTATAAGTGTTTGCTTGTTGAACTCGCTCAAATGTTGCTGTCAAAACAAGTCTCTCATGATTTATATTTGAGGGTATTAATGATGGAAACGTCACACTGTTGGATTCCTAATTTCATTGGGCTTCCTTGCAAGTATGACAAAATGCTTTCCCAGAATGCACAATGATATGTTCCTCATGCCAGGATGGGATAGAGCCTTACATCTGTAGGGTGTTTTTCTAAAAACACAACTATACACGTTTATGTTGCACAGTAAATTAGTGCACTGGCCCTGTTCCTCTAGGGGCCTGCACTAAAATAGATATAATGTAACTCCGTAGTAAAAACAAATTGTTCAGGTCCCATTTGTCTGCATTATAAAACTGGGATGTGCTGTTCAGTACAATTGAACAGCAGTTCTTTTGCAGGGTGTGGTTCTTGACAAGACTGAGAGTAAATTTCAGAGAAATACAGGCAAACATAATATAATTGAATTCGAACAATATACTTCTGCAAATCTCAGCAGTGTTTGTTTTAAGCTGAGAGCTAACAGTTCTTACTGTCATTAGTGCATTTAAGGGGGAGTACTTGCTTTTATAAGCTCTAAAATGAAAAGAAACTAAACAAATATTTTTCTTAGTGTAACAGAATGAAAAAATATAAATGCCTGCTTGTTAACGTTCTGAGATGCCAGTTTTGAAATACTTTCCCACTTTGAAAAGAACAGGGCAACTGATAGAAGCTGTAAACCAAAGAACAGTTAGTTATTAGTAACCAATTCTAACTGAATTCAGACTGCATGAATTAAAGATTACTTTGAAAACCCAAATAAACACCAGCAGTGAAGTGCTTTTAATAAATGTAAAGCAGGATACAATTTATAGAGTAGGGGTTGTAATTCAGAACCTTAAATTTTCTTGCATTCACAGACAGTGATTGGACTATTAATAAAAGATTACTGCTCAGTGTTTTGTTTTGTATTTATAGTGACAATTTTCCCCTTTTATGAAACCAACTGGACTTAAAAAGATAATTTGATGATGTTACAAAGGATGAAATAATGATCTGTTGTGTAGTTTATACTCTCTAGCGCTTTGTGGGTTTGCCGATTAGTCATTTTACCTTGGCCATTTTTAATTATTATTTATTGTAGACTCTAAATATGGCAGTTCATCTAACCAACTTCAGAACTGGAGGCCTGGAAATACAGTAGGGTGTGAACAATAATGCAAAATGATAGCGAGAATGTCAGGGGCCGTTCTTTGTTGTGTCATTCATGCTGTCTCCCTTTTTCCATGAAGCACATGAATATTTCACATATCTGCATCCTCATCCTCTATTCTTCTTGACTAATTTTCAGACTGTCTGAATTTGCATTTCACATGGTAGCTGATTAGGAGATGCCGAATGCAGCAGCGAAGCCTCAGCAGGCGGTTTCCATGGTGACCTTCAGCAGGATTTTAATGATGATACCACTAGTGGTTCGTTGAAGTTGGCCTGCCTGCAAGGCTACTTCGCTGCAGCTAAGTGTGAAGTGGGAGATGTGGATTCCTAGCCAAGGGGCAAATATCAAAGTCTGGCCCAGATAGAAGGTCTTCGAGTTTGGGTGGGGAGAGAGATTCCAGCTTTTCCTTACATCTGGATAGGGTTTTTGTTTTGCAAACACATGCAAAGCACAACATGTTACTTGCTATTTATTTCAAAGCAGACATGTACTTCTGCACCTTGGATGAGGCAGTTATCTGCAAAATACATGTAAGTTACTCTTAATGAGAGAATCAGAGCTATTATAGGTATTAAGATAGGTAACAAAACAATTTCTTAAAAGCAGCCATTGGTTAAGGAAACTGTAATGGGAGTGCCTTCACTAAGGTACCTGGAAAATACACAGTTATTACCTATTGCACTATTAAACCATTTTTAGCTTGTATGAAAAATGCTGTGCTGGCATGAGCTGTAAAAAAGAGAAACAAATAAGGGTGATCTGTCATATTAGAATACTGTGCTAAATGTTTCACCTGTACTGGAAATACAGATGTCAAACCTTTAACCAGGTGGGAAGGGTACTCAGTGAGCACTAAAGATTAGGGATCACTGAATAGTAAAACCCACTTCAGTTTTTATGAAAAAGAATTTTCTGAAATAAAAACTTCACTGAGTATTGATCTCTGCATCCTCTAACATAAACATGTAAATACTTTAATTATGAATTATAAGACAAGTATTTTTTCAATAAACTTTTTGTAAGTAGATTTTAGTGAGTTTTAAGGTGTGACATTTTTTCTAAGTTTTGAAACCTCTGTAAGAGTAATGTGTTAGTAATTGTCACATCTGTGTCATCAGAGAACAGTGTGACAGAAAGATGCACCTTTAGGTGGACAGATGGGTAATGTTTTTAAAAACCTTTGATTAGAAATACTAATAGTCTGAGATGCATTTTCACAAACTATTGCTTCAGTGGTAGATACAAGCCAAGATTTTCAAATGCTTGATAACACTGGATATCTCAATTTTTTAATATCCCTTAAAAACATCTGGTATTCAGAGTCAGTACTCAGCATTTACTGAAAGCTGTTCTGCTTTTGGGAATTCAAAGCTGGGGCTCCCTTGCCACCTCCAATCAATACTCTTAAAATCTTGTCAGCTAATATTAGTATCACTTTGCTTTCATGATGAAGTTTTAAAATCTTCCCTTTGATTGAGGTGCATTTCTTCTAATGTCCATTGCTAACCTCCTACCCAGATGTGAAAGCAGAAGGAGCCAGCAGGTCCACAATGGTAGTGTTAGCTGCCAGCAGGTCTTGAGAAAAGCACTCAAAAAAAGGCTTTGAGAAGGTTTTATTCAGAGTAAGAATGGTGTTGTGTGTGTTTTTTTAATCCAAACTTCCCTGTATGAAAATTTCTCTTTTTCAGCTGGCTAACAATGCAAAGTACTTGCCTGTCATATTTCTGTCTTTCCCCACTCCTCCTGACTTGACTGATAATTATTTATTTCATAGCTGAAAAACCTGCTAAAGTTAAAGAAAGTGTGTCCCACTGCTCCAGTGTCAGGCTAAGCTCCAGGCTAAAGCCAGTCACTGTGCTAAGTGCACAGAGGAGGTTAAGAACAATAAGCAGACAAAGAAGTTTGCAGCTTGGGGAGGCAACAGGAGGTCCCTCTGGCTCAGTCTGCTCTGCCTCTTGGCCAGTCTGTGCCAGGTAGTAAAAAATCACTTCTGTCTCTAATGATAGTCTGATTTTTAGACTCCCAGTGCCTCTTCCCATGACATTGGTGAGCTTTTCTGATACACTGGAAGTTTTATTAGTACTAGAGGGGCTGACAGATAGATTTCAGGTTTATTGAAATGGATATTCCTGTAGGAGTAAAGGATCAGTGCTATAAGCAGTGCTATAACCAGTGCTATCCAGTGTCCCAGTTTCAGTCTTGAAAGCTGTGTTCCCATGTAATTTTTCATCCTGTATAGCAGAAGTAATTCACCTTCTTCCAAAGGTTTGCTGTTCAGTTACAAGGCTCAAAAGAGCTCAAGGATTTGGAAATTACTCAGGAATCTGCACTATTGTTGTGCAGTGTCCCAGGCATGGTCAGCTCAGCATTCCTGCCTTACCAGTGAGATTCTGGACCTGCCAAGGGAAGAGGGGCATTGAGATACTGCAGTAATTGCAGTGACTGCCATTGAAAGAGGTCTGTGACAAGGCTTCTCAAGTGCCCAACAGGTCAATTTCTTGAAGATCTATTTCTGCTGCTCTACAAACAGTAAAGTATTGATAAACAGCTAGAAAAAAAACAGGAGAAAAACCACTCTGCTTCCCCTCTGATGCTGGCTTTGTGGGTTTCAACCCTTCAAGGTCCTTTATGAAGACTGTTCACTGTATGCAGTTCTGTTGCACAGATGGAGGTTTTCACTGAGAAAGAGAAACCTTCAGGATTAGATGTATTTTGCAGATAAATTATACCTGTATTCTCTTCACAAAATGTTTGCTTATTTGACTCTAATTTCTGGCTTGGTGGTGTTGGATGTTCCTCAGTCTTTCCTGTTTTCTGTGCAGGCTGTCTGAGGTGTTGCATGGCAAGCTGCTCATCTCTGCTTATACTGTGCCTCCTGCTTACCCTGTGTCCCACCTGCTCAGGAGATTGTTTGGCTTGCATGTTTGTATCACATGCTGGCAATTATTATTTCTTACAGTAGCTAATGATTTCCAGCATTCTGTTCCTCAAATGTTTGGGTGTTATTGCAGGCTAATAGTTTTTATTGCCACTGGCATTGTATTTTATTTATTGACTGCCAGAAGCAATATGATTGCTTTTATAACTCCATTAGTCAGAATATACTTAATGTATTTAAAATGCAAATAGCAAGTTTGTTACAGATTATTTTGATTTAATACACTTCGTTTCAATCTGGTAATCTGACCACTATCTTCAGAATTATCTCATTTTTAAATATTAAGCTCTTCTTGCTAAAGAATGGGATGTCTAATGACATAGATTTTATTCTGTTGAATACAAATATCTGTACATTATGTACAGTTTATCTGCAAGGGCTAATGGACAGAGCTTTATAGAGTGGTATGCAGTGCTTCTTCTTCAACTTCAGGAATTCCTATTCCTGTGCATTTAAATTAATCTTCAGAAAAGTGAAAGGAGTGTAATTATAATTTAAAATCCTTCCTGTTCTTTTTCTAAAAAGCAAGTAGGAGACTCTCCAATGGCAGGTTTAAAGAGACAGCCTATGTTACTTTTGAATAATGAGGGTGATGAGGTCGCTCTGTGTTAGTTGCAATAATTACAGATTTTTTTCAATAATCCTACCTAGTAGTACTGGTTGGGAGACCAAACCAAATTTGATATATTGCCACAGAAGAGTGGATCACAATGTGTTTGTTGGAGTGTCCTCCTCCCCCTCCCTCCCTACCTGTCCCCAGTGTCATAAGGAGGTCCAGGAGGATTTGGCAAAGCTATTTAAAAGCATAGAGGAAAATCTTCAGAGTTGGTTAAGTTGTTATTGCAAAGCACTGTGAACATTTCAGTAAGTCAGTATAAAAGAGGTATGTTCCACATTGAAAAATGCTTAGGAGATGCACACAATTTAAAACAGATGCCCTATCAGAAGGTTATCCATACAATATATTAAGTTCTAATATCATAAATTTTTAGGCATATCAGTAGAGGGAGAAAAGCCTGCAAACGTCCTGACAGTTTGTGAAGGCAGTGAGAAGTATGCAGGTGCTGTGGAAGCTCGTATTCAGCTTATGCTGAAGATGTCTATTAAAAACACCCAGTAGGTTATGGTGCTTCTGGAACATGGGATTTTCTGGTCATAGCGATTTGTTTATTCCCATATGGAGACTTTTGTGAATATTTGTTAATTATGTGCTTCTTTACATAAAGAACTCTATAAACAATCTAATCCTGGGGATACATATCAGGATGTAGTAATCAGAGCTTATTTATTCCAGTATTGTCTTCAGTGGTGAACAAGTGGAGTAACAGGGCCAGCATAATATGGTACTTGCCCAAAATACTTTCTCAGCTTCCAGTTTTATGTTAAGATACTTCCTCAAGGGTGGAGTCCTTGTAACAGGTAGCCCTCAGTGGGTTTAATTTGTTCAGTAGCTGAATTGAATGTGTGTGTATTGGTAGCTTCTGGCAGCAGGAGGTTCTGGGGGTTAACTGTGTGTTAGATGGAGCACCACTGCCTTTTGTTTGTTGGGCCCTGTCAGGCAGAAATGCCATTTATTGCTGGCTAACTCCTGTACCGGGACCAAATGAGCAAAGCAGCCCTCGTTTACCTTCGCTCTGTGCTCCTTTCGCTCTTGTGGGCTTTGCAGGCGCAGCTCTCCAGAAACACGGGGAATTTCCTATAAATCATGTGGGACTGGACTAAATGCATGTCTAAAGTTGTGTATTTAAAGGATTAGAACTTGAATTGGCTCATCATTTTTTCTGGCCAGCAGTGCAAAATGCAGAAATCAGGGGAGTGCGTTGCATACGTGTTTGCACAAGGCTGTGTGTGAGGGAGAGGGAGGGCTGCCCGTGTGCTCGTGCAGAGTCGCCGTTTGCCTCATTTTTGCCAGTTCTCTTAATTTGAATGTGATAACGCACAAATCCTGCTTGTAAGAAGGCCAACGCTCCTGTCATGTTCTCTCCCTCTGTAGCTGCGACAATTAGTTAATATGTGCATCAACCCGGATCCGGAGAAGCGCCCAGACATCACCTACGTGTACGATGTAGCGAAACGCATGCACGCACACACCGCCAGCAGCTGAGCGCCAGCAGAGCCCGGCACAGGAGCAGCCAGAACCAAGGGCTTCCAATGAATCATCCCACCTCTCCGTGTGTGTTACACAAATGTAATTATTTGAGGCTTACTGTTGTGCTTTGAATTGTAAACCAATTTATATACAAGCTTCGTTGCTTTCTGTTTATCTCTGGGTTTTGTGTTTTTTCCTAACTTGCAGTTGTACAACAGGTTTAAATGTGTAAAGCGTCATTTGAAGATGCTGTGAACCGCTGTTTCCATGTTAGTGGGTTCAAGTATACTTTCTGTAATAACAAAATTGTATTCAGTTGGGCCTTAGTTCTAAAACACAGTTGCACTTTTGCACATGATACAGATATTAGGCTTATTATCAAGAAGCAAAATGTCTGAATCTCTCACCTTTTTAGTAATTTATGGGAAGTATGAATCAGCACAGTTAACTTTATTTTAATCTTCGTTCCAAGAGGAACATAATTATTACGGGAGCTTATTGTATTTTATATTTAATTGTAGTTTGCAGTTCTTGCTGTAAGAGTAGACAAGGAATAGAATTAGTTCTCTGCTTGCCAAATGCAGAGGAAAAATAATTTCAGGAAAATCGTCATGCTGAAATTTTTGCAATGTCCCCTTTTGTTTTGTTAGTCTCTCTTAAAGCACAAAACATTTGTTGGAGGTTTTCTGGGAAAATTTAAGGTGTTGATTCAGCATTCGGGTCGTTTTCAATAGACTTGTGCAGCACTGCCCTGGGGCAATGGGAGTCTGCATAGTTCAGTCTTAAAAACATGCAGATGCTTCTTGTAGCCAATAGGGTTCTTTTGTGGCTGTCCTTTGAGCAGGTCTGATTAAAAGATGTGATCTTTAAGTTACAACTTCCCAACTGTTTGTGTATATGTCACTGTTTGTAGATTTTTGTGTTTAAAATAGTTTTGAGTGACCTTACAGTATATTTAAATTTTTTTTAAATACTGAAATCTTTTGGCAAAGATGTAATAGTCTGGTATAACACAAAAGGTATTCTACATAAATATATGATCTTTGTATACTATATCCTGAGACTTAGTTTTATATTTAGCAGAAGTAGATTATAGCTTTTATGTTTAAGAGAAACTTGCCACGCCTTAATTTGGAAAATAATTGTATATGCAAACTATCTTACAGATACTATGTTAGTTTAAAAGGAGATTCTGATTATTTTTGTTAGACCTTAGTGCCTTTTGGGGTGTGCTTATATAATATTTTCATTGTTAGGAAAGGAATGTGTCTGGTTTTTAAATGTGGTAAAAATGGAGTGAAATGAAATTCCTTGAGTTTCAAGACTGAACTTTTTTACGGAACTGTCAAAAGGTAATTATCAGTGATAGCAGCTAGGGAGCTGTTACTGTCAGTGAAGTCTTTTTCTTTATGTGGGTAAAAAGTTAGTTCAAATAAAAGCAGAAGTATGTACATACATATATAGGTTCTAGACGCAGTCACATCCAAGCATTCTCAGATTTTTTTTTTGCTAGTTTGTTTCTCTGTGCAGGTGTAATTTTTATTTGGTATAATGCTCAAAGAATAAAACAACATTTGTGGAGTTTGTGTTCAAGGGAGGGGTCAGGGTTGTTTTCAGTTTTGTATTTTTTAAAACTACCAATACTATGAAAATTGTGTTTGGAAAAAAAAAAAAAGGGGGGGGACGTTTTTAGATGGGATGTGCCAGATCATTGGCTTATCTTAATACATGCTTTTTTATTTTGTGGTTCCAGGTTTTGTAGGACAAATTGTATGAAACTGTAGTTTTATTTCTCACTTCTGTGTGCACTTAACCTTATAGAACTTCAGTGGAACAGTTTGATAGAAAGAAGTATTTGAGAAATTTTGGTTTGTCTATAGCAACCGCTAGATTTGTTTTCATTTATTAAATGCTTATATAATTTAAAACATGGTTATATTCTGTAACAATGTTTCACATGTCATAGAATGAAATGCTTTGTATTGAAAAAGGCAGCACAATATTTGCTTGACTCCCTGAATTAGTTCTTAATATGCACAAGTACGGAAATATTTTTTTGTCTGAAATGTGCTAGAACATTTAAAAATCACTGAAAAGCTCTCAAATGCATTGCAGGCTATTTGTATCTAATATTATGCATAAAGTATTGAACTTTTCCTGCCAGAAACTGCTGATAGATATCCCTCCCCTGGAAGGGTATGTTGAGTAAAAGAATAATGAGTTAGGAGTTAGCAAATGTGCATACATAAGCATTTAATTTTTTTTTAGTAATGTGGGATTTTGTTGGTTTTTTTTTAGTATTTATGATTAAATATTGTGCTGAGGAAAAGAAGTTTATTTCTGACTTAAAATCATGTGAAATGAATGGTGCACCTGACTTTGATACCAAACTCTATAATTAAAAAGCCAATGTGGGTTAATGGAACTGCTTACATAAGTGGGGATTGTAGAATCTCTTCCCTAAAGTAAAATACCTGGTAACATAAAAATTATAAGTCTTGTTATAACACTCCAATGTATACTATGTGCTCATGAAATATTTTCTTTTGTAAACCACCATCCTATTTTTCATATTTTAATGATAACATTTGACACTATTTATTTTAAGCTATGGCATTATGTGTTTATTTTCTTTAAAGAAAAAATGTTACATTTCTACCCAAAATGTCTGACCAGCTCCTCCTTTTATTTCAGTAATGCTCCAGTATTAACTTGTGTCAGGAGTGAACTTTTTGTGCTTCAAATGACATTGCATAAAATCCCTTTGTCTCAGAAGCTCTCCTGCTGTGCCGTAGTCCAATAGAAATTCAACATACAGATATTAAATGTAATGTAATGTAAAAATTATAGTGTTTCTATGATATTTTTTCAAACTTTTCTTTTTTAGAGATATATATGTGTTACAGTAGATGCTGCCTATCGTGTGGACAACTTACTGCTTCCAGTATTTGATTCTAGGTGAGATTTCTTGACTGTAACGAAAGATAGTACACTAAAAAAACCAAAAGTATTATTTGTTAAAAGATTACCTAAAAATACTACATCCAGTATGTTGTGTGTTTTAAAAGGAAATTTTAAACTACAATTTTAAGCTAAATTTAAAATAATTTTCAATATTAAAGTATGTGATAAAGCATAAAAATAACAAAGAGCTCCCATTGTGGCCCCAGTCCTGTGAGCTCTTGTTTATATTTCAGCTGGTTTTTATGTAATTTCAGTAATTTTGAGTGAACCACATCTACACACACGAATTAACAGTAATCAGTAGGGTAGATAGAAATTATGTGCTCAGCTCACTTTTTATACTCTGTGTGTCACTGGTTTTGTAGCAGGAATAATTTGGGTTTTTTCCCCTATTTTGTTGCACTCCTAATGATCCAGCTCCCAATTGTATGAGCAGGCAATAGAAGTGTGTTGTCTTTTTGTAATGAGCAGAAACTTTAAAAACATGCCAGTATAGCAGAAGATGAAATGCAGTATTAGAAGTGTCTGGGAAGGCTGGTGTTTTATTCATGCTCATGATTAAGAAAGCCTTAGAGTGAAATTCCTGACAGTGGCTTGGAAATGGAGAAGAACTTTTATGCCAGTGGTTCTCAGATAACTCTGAATGGGACCCAAAATCGCAGTGATGTTTGTTTGCAGCAATCTGTCTGCTTTATCTCTTATGTTTGCTGTTGCACAGTGTGGTGAGGATCTTAGCAGCTGAGTTGGAGTGTTGGTGAATGCTGCATTGGCTGTGTGAGCTGGTAGGAGCAGGAGGTGATGTGAGGCAGGGGCAGCAAAGGCCTTCTGGTCTTGTTTTGTGAAGACATAAAGGTGCTGGATGGCAGAGGTCAAATTACTGGTTTTTAATAATTTATAATAGTCTTTAATAATCTTTATCTACTTCAACAATCAAAATTTTCCCAAGCCAGCCATATGTCCACGTTATCTAGTCAGTGGCAGTGTTGGCAGTGGCCTTTGAATTTCTGAGTTCTGGTTTGATCTGGGTGAGTAAATCTTTCTGGAAGGATGGAAATAGAGGTGTGGACCCTGCTTGGTAGGGTGCTACTTATGTTTCTGAACATTACTCAAATACAGATGTTTAGAGTTGTTTTTTAAACTTTATTCCCATCTCTGATGCTTTTTAAAAAGTATTTTCCATTCATATTGACCACTAAAGTTCTGTGACTCCTGACTTCTGCTTTTACTTTGTCAGTCCTGTAGCCTCTTCCTGGTTTGAAGTCCTGTCTAGTTTTCCTAGTGGTCATTAGTTTGCATCTTTCTTTGTGTGTTTGCTAAACTCAACACATTTCAGTGTTTTCAAATTTCAGCCCTCCCCATGGGCAAGCCCAGTTCCTTTCCCCTGATCAGTACTTTAATCCTTTGTTCTTCATCCTGTTTTTCCAGCCCCATGCCTGTGATTTCTAGTTTTAGATAGATTTTCTTACTGCCTCAATCATTCCCATGACCTTGTCTTTGCTAAATACTGTTCACTTTATTATCTCTCATTTCTAAATTCCCTTTCTCTGATCACTACCTGCTCTCTTTCAGCTTATCTGTCTTTCTCTCTCCTCTACCCTGTCACTCACTCCTTTTGGGATCTCCAGTCTATTAACCTTTTTGACTCCTTCGTCTTCACTGCTGCCTCCTTCCTTCATTGGCCTCACTTCTTTTTACTCACTGGTCTTTATTTTTATCTCTATCTGGTTCTCTGTACATGGTTTCTTTTGCTGCTTCTCACACTGCCCTGTTTCCATTCCTCCCTCCAGACATATTCTCTTGTAATTTCTTAATTTCCATTCCAACCTTTCTGAATATCTGAAGAGTGTGTCAGCACAACACAGCTTTGGACTCAGCTTTGCTTTACCTACTTCAGTGCTCTTCCCAAATGGACTTTTAAACCACTTTTATCTCCCCTTTCTTTTCTTGTTGAGTTTGCTTGCAGATCTGCAGTTCATATTCATTTTCCATTCATTCTTGATACAAAGTCTTCAGTCCTGATTTTGTTGCATGACAAGATCCTTTTCAAAGTTATTTTTATTCTCATGATCTGTTTCTCAGCTGAGCTTCTCTGCCTCTTAACTGTGCAAGTTTGCCCTTTTTATTTCTGTATCTTTTATACCTCTCATTCCTTTCATTGATTTACTTCTTCCTTCAGTAGCAGCCAAGTTTCTCCTTCATCTGTCTTTATGGGGGTGGCACTATCATCATAACTGTTTCTGGTTTTTTAATACTTTGTCCTTTTTTCACCCTCTCATCTGCTTTCATGTACCTAAACACCCTCTCTCCAGTTTGTTTTTGGAATTTTTTTTATGTTGCACTTCATTTGAACGCCCCAAAAATCCAGTGCTTCTTCCCCCTAGTCTGGTTCTCCCATGGTTCTATCTCTGGATTATTCCTTTAGTATCTAGCCAGCCTCAGACCTGTTCAAATTCAAAGGTCTAATTTTTATTTCTGACTCCCTCTAGACTATTTTCTAACATCCCTGACAATTTTACTTGCCTGTTTTCCAAGGCCACAACCTTTCTATCTCTGACACTTCTCCCATGCCTGCGTATCAAATGTCTCAGAGTTAGATGTCTCAGAATCCAGCCCTCTTCACTATCTGTTCTTTCTTATCTTTTATCTTCACTGATTTAACCTCTGTGTCATTTTGGCTTCTTTTCTCCCTTCAAAGTATCAAAATTGGCAGGACTAAACTGTCATTGGGCTTTCACTGTTTTGTGTGCCGAATGAAGAAGGAACTCCACCAAATTACTACTTGTTTTGTGTTTTAAAGAGACCTGAATCCCACAAATCTGATCTTATTTCAGTCCCGTAGAATTGGAATAGATTGCTTCTCCAAGTACATCAGAAGTCCTTGAATTTGGGCCTTTAGTTTTCTGTCATAAAGAGATAAAGAGATTTTTCCCTTAATTTCCCTTTGTATTTACTGTGTGTGACTTTGTCTTGTCGCTGCACATACAGCTAACAGTTGTTTTCCTGCTACAGCAACTTGATTGCAGTGCTTTTAACTATTGCTTGAAATAAGAACGTGCCTAAGAGCTTTCCAGGCTGGGCCCAGAGTTGGGCACAACGCTCCTCTCTCTTGCTGTGCCAAGACCCTCCAGGTGCAGGAGTGAGCTCGGTGCTCTGCTGCTTCTCTGCCCACACTGCCCTGACATAAAACCAAACCAGAGCTGCCTCTGTGGTGGGTGCATGGTCTGACTTCACACTTCTAGCAGGCTTTCAGAGGTGGAAGATCTTCAGTTTGCAGAGATTCACTGTTGGTTAAATTGTCTGGCCTTTGCTCATAATTATCCTGAGATTTGTTTGGATTGAGAAATTAAAATCTCTGTAAACCTGAGAAGTTTGGTGTTTTGGAACTGGGAGTTAGAGAGCTCAGTGTTACATTTGGTGTGGGTATACACACATTTGTTGACTTTTTATTTACACCAGTGTAATTACCTTGTTTTAGAGGATCAGTTGTTTGCTGGCACAAAAATATTTCTAGTACTTTTCAGGTTTTACATTTATTCCTTGTTGCCTGCTTGTATCACTTTGTGCAGTTTGTTCTTCTACAGCTGCCTTAGTAATGGGTGTCGGCCTTAAATCTTTGTCTAATTGCAATTTTCTGTCATATGGAATTAAAAATAGGAAATGGAGTCCTTCCTGATAGTTTCACTTGCTTTTCACTTAAACCCTAGCAATAGATAGAGGTCCCAACCAGGAACAGAAGTGGTCCCCAGGAGAAAAAGATGTTCTGGGATTCCTTGCTTCCTTTCCACCTCCCAGTCCTTGTTTTTCTGGCTTCCCTGGGACACTTGCAGGGAATATGGCACTGCCAGTGTATCGAGAGCCAATAGAAACTTTCTCAGTGTGGACAGGAGATCTCCCAGTTGAAGATGACTAGGAATATATTTGATATTGTTATACGGCTGATAATTGCAAATGTGTAAATTTCAATTAAAAAATCTGCTGTTACAAAAAGAATTTTAAATTATGCAAAGGCCTTTTAATGTGGTGTTGGTTTTCTTCAGTAATTTGCTGCTTGTTCCTTTGATTTCAGTCATGCTGGACTGTTGTAAAGATGATTCATTAAAGATGAGTGTTGTTTTTTGTTGGGAGTGGGGAAAACAAGAGGCATTCACTGATTTGTTTGTATTTGGCTGCTGACTGTGCTTGAATCAAATTTTATAATAATTCACATTGGAGTGGATGTTGAGAGAAGTCTCTAGTCCATCTTCCTTGTGAGAGCTGAGTCAGTGCTGAATTCGGAGCAGGGCTTCAGGCTTCAGCAAGATCTAGAAACCCTCAAGGAGGGTGACTGAGCATCTTCTGTGGGCAGCCTGCTCCAGTGCCGTGCTGTAAACCTTGTTTGCCTTGTGTGCAGCCAGAAACTCCTCAGTTACAAGCTGTGGCCATTCTTTGTTCTTCTGCCACTCCTTAAAGGTTCTTTGTATTGCAAAAAGGTAAGTCTAGTATTGGGACAAAGAGAGAACTTAGGATGTTTTATTTTCTGAAAATTTGTTATTGCTAACAAGTATGTTCATGTAGTACTTCTGCTCCTGTATGATGTGTACACCATATTCCTTTGCAACTCGAGTGTAAAATAAAACTTTTGGCAGTAAAACTTGATACAAACATTTCATGGTGTTTATGGCCTGGATTTTCTCAATTGTTACCTTTCAAATCTGCAAAATGTTGTGCCCACCGTGGTGAAGCAGGGAAGTTGGGGTCCTGAAATAACTCTGCTTCTCTTTTCTGGAGCCTGCTCTTGGGGAGGGAGCTTAGCACTGGGATGGGATGGGAAGAGGATGAAGCCAGCAGGTGTGAGATCACTGCTGGTTATGGGAGCCTTACTTTAAACTCAAGTGGTGGTGGAAACTTGCTTGGAGAGATTTATCAAAATTTGAGGAGGAAAATGCCTGGAGCAGGGTCACCTTTCAGAGCAGTAGTTTTTGGGGGTTTTTTTTGGTAAATTTTGCCCTGTATTAAATAAGAACTTGAAACTTCTGACAGCAGACTTCTTGGGAGCAAACAAAGAATATGAAAAATAGATTCAGTTTCAAATCTGTCAAGTTCTTTGAGGAAACTATTTCTGTAAACTAAGAATAATTTATTGATGTTATAAAATATCATTTTAACAGTTGCCGGTCTGGCAGGAGGGTGGTGGTGGCTGTGTAATTCTTTTTTGAACACTTTTTAAAAAGTGTTCAAAGGTTAAAAAAAAAAAAAGGAGTAGCAGATGATTTAGATCTTTTACTTTTGTGGGAGAATATTTGAGAATGTAATTACCAAATTTGGTGTGCATTTTAAATTTTTTAATGGCTTTTAAATTCAGTATGCATTTGAATCAATAATAATTTTTGTTCTTCATTCTGGAACAAGTCATTATTTTAGATTCTGATTTCTGCATGTTGTGATGTATTAGAAGCAAAATTCTTCCTGATGTACTTTTCTTTAGTGGCATAGAGTTTTCCCGAAGTGTCAACAGTGTAGTTGTATTGATTTCATCCTCCAAAGATGGATGTCTTGCTTGAGTCTGGGGTGAGCAGTTAAAGCCCTGCTGCCTGTGGTGGAAGGCAGAAGTGCTGCTAGACAGACATAAGACAACTTTCTGAGGACAACCTTAAAAACTTCTATTGAGTTGGTAGGGTAGAAAGGGATCCTAAAATGTTACTGTGGAGTGTTTTTAGTGTTGTGGCCTCTGAGACAGGCTTTGGAAATACGGGGACCTTCAGCTGCAGGATGCACTGGCCTGAATTCAAAGGAAAGGCTCCTTGTCCTTTCTCCTTTAGCTGAGAGGTCTGGACTGCATGTTTGGGGCTGAAACAGAGCCTGGCTGAACACTCTTGCCTTGAGTGGGAGAGTTGTGTCAGTAGTTTGCATGGAATGTCCAATAATAATAAGTCAGTAATTTGAAGAACCTTGTACAGTTATGCCATTTCCATAATTCAGTTTTTCCACTCCAGAGCATACATGGATACAGAGATGACTTTATCTGCTCCATCCTTTTATCATACAACAGGACAAGAGCTCCCCTGTGTTGTGGTTGTATTTTCCTGTGGTGCGTTTTTTGTTGTTGGTTGTTATTTTTTGGTGGTTTTTGTGTGTTTACCAAACATTTCTCACCTTAAAGTGATACTAAAAATTGTTCCATAAATGTGAAATTTATATACATTTACACACACATAAGGAAGGCTTACAAAACACTGCATTCTGCTTTGTAGCAAACCTTTGTAAGTGGATCTGTAGTCACACAGATGCTGTTGGCTGCCCTTGGCTGTCACATGGCACCGTTGTGAATGTGAACATCTTTTCTTTGTTCAAATCTAGGGGCTGATCCCAGGAACATAAAATGCAAGGTGTATGCCTTTAACAAAAAACTCCTCATACTGCAAAATGAGGCAATTACTTGGCTTTAGCAGAGCCCTGTGCCCTGTGTGTGGGTACCTGTGGTAAGCCTGGCCCGGAGCGAGGCTGGCGCTGGCTCCAGCATCATTAACTGGGAGCCTGCTGACACTGGCCATTGATCCAGCAGCCAGCACGGGGCCTCTGGGCTGCTGGGTCTCCTCCCCCAGCTCCTGCTCCTCCCTGGGGATAACCTATTGGAAGGAATGACCCACTTGCCTGGAGTTTGGAGAAGCAGTGAGCAGTTCACTGTGAGTTGTCAGCTCAAGAAAAAGGGCAGAGGATCGTGTGGGTGACCCTTATCTGTTATTGGTGTCCTGTAACACTGGGCCATCCCTCACAATGTCACAAATCCCAGGAAGACCTTGTGAAACTCCACCAGTGCAATAACTGGAAAGCTCTCATCTTTACAGCAGTAATGATACAGAAGGGTGGTGATGGTTTTGAGCTAAAATGCTTTTTTGAAAAGTTCTGCCTGTGCAGTAAGTGTTTCTGATGGTAAGCAATCTATTTCTAAAACTATATTTTATTGGAGAATTGCTTTATTTTTTATTTTCTCAGTGTGCACATGTTGATGACGATGGTCCCAAATGGATAGAAACAGATGGCTGTTCAAGTAATATCCATGAAATTGCACATATTACTGCTCATAGGTACCATATTCTTCCCATTTATTGTTGCCTTAAGTCTTGGATATTTTCTTTAAACAGCACTGATAGCTCTAAAAACCATCACAGGTTTTATAAAGGCAACCTACACATACACTGTGCATTCTAACAGGGTGGTATGAGAATTTTGTGCATGTTTTGCAATTAATGATTTATATTTTTTTTTCTGAATGAAAGTTAAATTAGACATGGTATGATTTTTTTTTTAAAGTAAGAGTAGTATCTAAGTGCCATTATAATTATCAGAATCCCATTGTAACTTAAGTGGTGTGTCTGTATTTTCTGTATTGAGCAAAGGTACATCTGCAGCCATTATAATTATCAGAATCCCATTGTAACTTAAGTGGTTTGTCTGTGTGAGAGTATTTTCTGTATTGAGCACAGGTACATCTGCGGTGTGTTGCCTCACAGCTTGATTTGGAATGCTGGCAGCCATTTGCCTGCAGCAAAGCACCTTCCAAATGTATAACTTCTTGCTTTATGGGGCTCTTGTTGGAATTTGGCCCTTTTATTTCCTCATGATATTGAATTTCTGGCTTTGTATAAGACCATCAAGCTACTGCTAAAAGGACTAGAAAAAGAAAGTAGATCATAATTGTAATTTATTTCACAGTAATTGAGCATAAAATTCTGTGCTTAAAATGCAGTCCTAAAACACAACTTCCTTTTAAATCAGACACTCTGCAGTTCTCTCATAAACTTTAAAATATTGTCAGCATTATATCTTTACATACTTCATAGTCTTATGTAAGGAAAACTTGAAATAGAAATTCTGTTTGAGTGCATGAAGTGTCTCAGAGTTTAAATTGCAAGAAATCAATCGTGTTCTTCAGACCTCTCAATAATTGTCTTTATATTCATTCTTTAAGGTCCTAGCTAAGTTGAAATGCAGTATTTCATTCCTGACATTTAATCCATTAAAATGTCCTTGGAGATGTATTATTCCCTTAAAATAATTTACGTGTCCCCTAAAATAAACACAGACTGCTGGAGGTATTTCAAAGTAATTTTTGCTCTGCTCCAGAACATAAATAGGAAACATATACATGCCTCTTTTGAGATTAGTTACATAATTGTCAGATGAAAACCATGTCATCATAGTCTCGGGATTACTTTTTGTTGCCATATTTGTTAAAAATACGGTATCAAACCCAGATCATGATTGCATGAATTACCTTTTGTTAAAAATACGGTATCAAACCCAGATCATGATTGCATGAATTAATGTTGTACCCTTAGCTGTTCTGGCTTGTGTGGCATTTTGTTCAGTTTGTAAATGACTAAAAGTGGTAGTTCAGTCTGCCCAGAGTACTTAAGATCCAGTAGGTCTGTCCATCTGCACTGTCAGAGTGACAGTTTCCTACCAGACACCGAGCCGTGAAGGAGAGGGAGGCCGGTTCTTGGGAAGGCTGTGGGATGAGCTCCCCCTCCAGCAGCCAGGCTCGTGCAGCCTCTGCCGAGCTCCTGCCTGGCCACGGGCTGCTTTACAGGCAGGGAAGTGCTGGCTGGGTCATTTAAGGTGTGTGCCATGGGAATACCTGTTCCATTGAACTCCGTGGGCCACCATCAAGGAACTTGATTATTCATGTGTACTGAGCGTTTATTATGTGGATATGCAGATGCTTTTAAACTGGGTATCTGAGAAAATCATTTGGATGTCATTGGAAAGGCTGATCTGCTGCTCAGTATGGAAAAACATGGCACACTTTTACCCTAATGACCTGTGTTGTACAGTTTGACCCTAATTATGTCTCATTTTCCATTTCATTTTTGCGTGCAACTTGCACAGTGCAGGCTTCCATCATGTTCCACACACACGTTCCCAGGCAGAACACTTCACAGCAAATTGCCTGAGTGAGCAGGAGTCCTGGGCCCTGCTCCTTCTGGAGTGGAGCCAGTTCCTACAGTGCTTCTGGCCTTTTTTTAGCATTCCCAATTTCTGTGGGATCCTGCATTTCACACCATGCTTAGCTGGCACTTCTGCATTTTGCCCTTAGCTTTGCTCCACCCTGTGCTTTGGGAATCTTCTCTTTCCACGTTACACCCTTTTCACAGCATCTGGCTTGGTAACCTTCTCTTATTCTCCAGTAATTTTGTGCTTGCATTCTCCCCCACCTCTGCTGTGATTTGAGGGTGAGATGGCTTTGGTCATTTCTTTCCTCATCTCCCTAGTGGGACACAAAAATCAATTTCCATTCTGGGAATCTGGTAACATTGCCAACTGTTTTGCCAGAATCCTGGTCTGGTAGAAGCTGGGCTAGGAGCCTTTGAGCAGGTTTTGTTAGCTCAGCTGAGCACAAAGGATGATCACCAACAATTTGCACATGGCAGCTGTTGGGAAAATGGAGAGGCCACAGTATGGAGGATTTTGAAAATTTGCCTGAATGAAGACCTCAAGTTGTGCTCCAGGACAGTGTGGGATTAGATCTTATGCAAAAACACTTGTGAAGAGTATTTGGCCAGCATTAGAAGGAACAAAACTATTACCCAGAGGATAGCACCTTTCAAAATAATTGCTATAATTTGGCTAGTACTGGTAAGCTTGCTGTTTTCTCTGTCTGTAT